CTGTCTCTCTAGCGAGTTCACATGCAAGCCCTATGGAAAAAAAATCTTTTTTTAAAAAAAGAAAGAAATGAAAGGCATCCAAATAGACAAAAAAAATGAAATTATTTCTGTTTGCAGATGACATAACTTTATGTGTGAAAACCCTAAAGATTTCTCAAAAATAAATGTTTAGAGCTAATAAAAGAATCAGAGCTGCAGGACACAAAATCGACACAGGAATCAGTTGTGTTTCTATACATTGGTAACAAACTAAAGGGAATTAAGAAAAAAAAAGTCTATTTACAATAGACTTTGATGCTACTCACAAAATCAAACATACTTAGAAATAAATTTAATCAAGATGATGAAAGAGTTATATATTGAAAACTACAAATCACTACTGATAGAGACTAGAGAAGACCTAAATACATGCGAAGATGTCTATTATTAAGTTTGGAAAACTTAATATCTTTAAGCTGACAGTGCTACGCAAAGTGATTGATAGTGATTCTCGGCAAGCACAAAATTGTGCTTTATTATTTACATTCTTTTAGGATACAGATCTTATCAAATCTAAAGGGTAGCTGTAGTGAGCCAAACTAGGCCATTCAAGGATACCTTTTTCTTGCTAGATTTAAATCTTTTCAAATGAAGTGGGGAAGTCTGTTCTGCCTATTTTTCTCTTAAACTTTGGACCTGAAATGAACCATCATTTTGAAAATCAATCTATATAATTTAATCTAATTTTGAAAAGCCACAGATGCTAGCTCTGAAAGGAAAAAGAAAGCTAAAGGAAAAATAATTCAGAAAAAAAGAAAGAAAGCAGTTTACTAAAAGCCTAGTTCAGAGTTAGCTCATTTGAAACCAGGCCTTCTCAGGCCAAAATGATAATCCCATCATAAAAATAACATAATAATGTATATGTTAGGAATTGCAGCACATTTTTATTACCCTCTTTATATATCTGCTTAAGCCCTTGTTGAATTAGAATATTTTTATTTCAGATTCCCCAAGTATAAAGAATCAATATCTCCGGCTCAACAAAAATTTTTATGATCATAGGGTATTTAGTTCAGGAAAATGAAACTGACTATCTTGAGTGTAAACGCAGACTCCGCAGCTTGTTGACTGTGTGACTGTTGACAAATCATTTAAATCTCTGTATCTCTTTTATAAAATGGAACTGCAACTTCATGACTATCACCAAATTTAAGTGTCATGATATATCTGGGTTATACGCAGTAAATAGGCTAATTGACATTATTAGTGATGAATAAACTCAGTTTTAAATTTAGCTGGTCTTTTCTACTTTTGTTTAATTAAAAAAATATTTCCGTGGCCAGGAGATGGTATAGCAGTTACATTATTGGACTCCCACATGGTAAACTGTGGTTTGAGTCCCAGACTCGGTGGCTTAACACTCATACCAAGCGCATGTGTGTGTATGCCCAAGATCCCAGGAGGAAAATGGAGGAGAAGGGATTGTAGCCTGGCCATTTCCCCTAAGAGGTGATTTCTTACTTTCCCTCTCACTCTCTATGTCTCTTGCTCTTTCTCTCTCCAGCGAGCACATACTCCCTAAGAAAAAAAAAAGAAAGAAAGAAAAAAATAAAAATTTGCTGTAGGGTGTGTGTGGACTTCTTGGGAGAGAACGACTCTTTTTTTTTTTTTTTTCCTCCATTCTCCTCTTTGGATTTTGGGCACGTGCCTGGAATGTTTTTCCATCCATCAGGCCTGAGACTTGGACCACAGAGTTTGCCATGTGGGATCCAGTCAACTTAGCCACCATGCCACCTGACTCGCCCACTTTCGTCAGTTTTTTCTCTGGCCTTTCTTTTTTCCATGTAGTATCTCTCACTCGCTCTCTCTCTCTCTCACTCTGTGTGTGTGTGTGTGTGTGTGTGTGTGTGTGTGTGTTTCACTTCAAGAAACCTTCACATTGTCACAGACGTACAGGCCTCCAAGAACATTCCTTCACTCAAACCTGATTATTGACATACCACATCACTTTTGCCTTGGATTTATCAGTAAAAGACAGAAAGAAGGGAAGAACTGCGAAAGATGTGACTTGGCAACAATTGGTGTGAGAGAATGAAAGTGTCCAAAGAAAGTTAGCAATTAAAGTTCAGTGTGATCCAATTTTAGCAGCGTTACCATTGTCATCTGAAGGTCTAATGATAGATACACATGCTAAGATAAAATTAGTATCTTGCTATGCTTCAGAGCCATGAGTACAAACCCAACTGCAACAGTGTGTTCTGTCCTGGTTATCACAGTTATAAGGGACATTAAATAGAACTGTGCATATCTGATCTCGCTGGCAGACTGTGTGGGTGTGTGCATATTTGACATTTAAAAAATTTTTTTAAATGTCAAAAACTTTATAAAATGTAACATGTATAGCAACATTAAAATAATTTTGCAGCAAACCCCTATAAACCTAGGTTGTACCATTAACATTTTACTTACTTATTTTAAAATTTGTTTTTATTGTATATATGTACAATACACTGGGTCATCAGCAAAGTTATGATGCATTTTTGCATAAAAACCAAAAATATGCCACAACTCCACAGACAAACCAATGTATGTTTTTGTATACATATTTTGCTATACACATGAATAATGAACTTATTATTACAGCCCCCAAATTTACATAGTCATTGTATTCCATAGTTGCCTTTGTGTGTATGGTAAGAGCACCTAAAACCTATTATGGCAAATTTTTAATATAATACAAAATTATTAACTATAGTCCTCATTTTGTACATTGAGTCTCTGGATTTACTTATCCTTCTCAACTGTAAAATTGTACCCTTTTTACTTCTTCCCATCCCTGACCTGGTAACAATTCTTAACCATCCTGCTCTCTGTTTCTAATTATTTAACATATATTTTAGATTCTGCACATATATTGTCACATTTCTACCCATCTCTCTATCTATTCGTGTATCTTCAATGCAATTCAGAGGTAATTGCAGACATCAATACTTTCCTTCTAAAACGTAACTATGCATGTTCTCAGTTAAGATTTCACTAAATGTTTATAGTTGTAACATTTTTTGTTGTAAAATTTACAAACTGTAATATGTGTAAATCTTTTTTTTTTTTTTTTTTGGTTTTGATATAGGGCTCACGTGCTCGCCAGAGAGAGGGAAAGTGAGAAATCACCCCACAAAGGGGATGGGCACACTACAATCTCTCGTACTCGATTTTCCTATTGGGATTTTGGGCACACATGCACACACATGTGCCCAGTGTGATTTTCAAGCAACTGGGTCTAGGATTTGGACCACAGCTGGTTATGTGGGAGTCCAGCACCTTAACTATCATACCTCTTGCTGGCCCAGTAATATGGATAAATCTTAAGTGTACCTTTACTTATGTTTGACAAATGGATACATCTCTATAACCCAAATCCTTAAATAATTTGACTTTTTCTTTTTTGGTATGTGACTTGACTCTTTCTACGAGATGCATTATTTCTGGGACCAGTCCTGTAACCCTCTCCCTCTCTCTGTCTCTCTGGAGAACACACATGCATTCTTCCTAAGCCTTCAACAAATCAGGTGTGCATCAGCCTTAAGGATTGTGTTCTTGCATCTCTTTTTGCTCTTCTCCAAGATAATTACTAAACTAGTTTCCCCAACTGGTTTTCCCCAGGTGTAACCACTGCTTATGTGCATGGTTGGCTATCCATCCTTTCTTACGCATTTCTCATCCTGGTGACCATTTTCTGCTTAATCTTCTTATATCCTTTATCACCTTTTACCTTACTAGTCATTTGCTTATTTGTTACATATATTATTTTTGTCTATTTCTCCCTGCTGTAATGCAAACATTATTAAGTATTTAAGGATCACTGGCTTTTCTCACTTCCATCTATAGCTGTACCATAAACACCCAGAAGACTGTCTTTCACGGAGTAAGCACTTAGTAAGTGTTTGTCAATGGAGTGATGGCTATAAATATAATATTGTAAATATATTTTGAGATGTATTCTGTGTGATTTTCCCTGTAAGGTGTTCTTTAAACACACACACACACACACACACACACACACACACAAAGTGCTGAAATGAAGAGTTTCCAAAAGTTCTCCTTGGATGTCTCAGAATGGGATATTTATATATTTGACTTGGGTGTCTTCACAGGATTGAGCAAGTTATATGGCAACTGGGTTGGTTATCAAAGAGCCAAGCCTTAACCTTTTGTATTTTAACTAGAACTTTTTTCTTTGTCAAGTTCTTTCTTTGGGCCTTGGCATTTCTAATGCGTCACTGAGTTATCTCATTTCACAATTAAGCTCAGATTGACTACATTCTTAAGTATATAGGTTTCTAGAAATATATTAAGTATTCAGTGTTTATTGAATACTCACTATTTATAAAATATTCACTACTTATTGAATATTTATTTACTTATATCTATCTAGTAGACACTGATATTTCTGGAAAGCCAAGAAATTTGTATTTAGAGATTGTACAGTCTAAATCTACCATTCCAGAGAGATAAGACAACTATGGTTTGTAGAGGACAAATGTTTTGCTTTTATATAAAATACTTTTCTTGAAATTTAGTATAACCAATATTATGTGATCTAATACTTAAATAATAGACATTATTAAACATCTGTAAACATTACATGGTCATGTTGTCAGAATCCTTTTACCTACATGGAGAATCCAATAAGAAAACAAAGGTTTTTCCCAAGATGCCTCAGTGACTTGGTGGTTGATTTAGAATGGGAAAACAGATCTCCTGGTGCAAGTTTATGCCAGGTCAATTACTCCTTGTTGTATCTGTATGTTTTCTTGATCTCCACATAAAAACACAATCAATGCTTTTACAGAATTTACTTTATTGGCAAAAGAATCAAGGGAAATATCCATACATTGAACTACCCAAGACCCAGGCAGAGTAGAAGATGATTTTCTAAATCGGCCAGAGAAAAATAAAAGTGAAAGTGAAAAAAGAAAGATGAGAAAGTTGACAAGCCAGTACGAAACACTGGTTTGAATTCAGCATTTTCCTTGATGCTTTAGGTTAATCTTCCCACCACTTTTCCTCCTAAAAAAAAAAAAAAAAGACAACATATGTTCAGTGCAACATCATAAGTAATCACAGAAGTTGAAAACAGATTTAGCTACTGCATGACTTATAAAATCATTTGTTGCTATAAATATCCATGACTATGATTAGGCAGAGATTAATTAAATGTACTCAGAGGTGACATCTGGCCTAACTGTGGAAAGAATGAATAAACAAACAAATCTCAGAGTTTTCAGAAGAGACCTTTGGTACTTATTGCTGATTTTCTGATACTAAATACAATTGAAAAGAGTAGAAATGACAGGAGAAATAATGGTAGACTACAGTATCATAGTTCTACCCTGACAAAATATGGGAAGTTGAACCAATTATTTAGATATCTGGCATTTTGTAGAAGATCACAAATTCAGGCCCTTTTAGTAGTATATGCCTATCAATTTAAATCTGGTGTTACCCTATTGACCTTCTGCTGTAAGACATTTAGTATTAGTCAGTCAGATGTAATATGTAAAGTCAGATATGTTATATGTAAATGTGGACAAGAATTCATGATGTAGTGAAATTTTTATTGAAAATTTAAATTAAGTATAAATAAAAACATAAGAATGTATCAACATTATTAGATATAAGTTATTATTACATAATAGATATATAAATATTGTTAAAACTTTCCTAAGATGAATAAAAAATGATAATAGCAAAGTAAATCAATTCAGATTGTTTTGAAATAATTGATTACAGAATTTTTTCTTGTTGCTTTTGACCCATATGTTTCAATCCATTTGACTAAAGCATAATTCTTCACTTTTATGGAGAAGTATAGATCGAACTTTCTAGAATACCTCAAGGAACACATCTTAGTCTTATTCTGGAAGGTTGTGTTCGCAAGGGACAAGTTTGGTGACTGTAATACTTACATTACTGCCTTACAGAAAGCACATTTATTTCCATATGTCTGGCCATCAGAGCCGCAGTGGGGGTTAGATTCCCTCGTACAGTAGACCTTGGGGTCACGGAACTCACCACAGTCAATCTAACAAAGGATAGTGATATTGACATCAGTGCATTCTGCCTATGTGACTATTTCTCAGAATAGCAGCTTTGGACAACAAACTTTCAAAATTTTTTATAATAGATATACGTATACATATGCAAGAGAACTTCAAAAAGTCTGAGGAAAAATAGAATTAAAATACCTGTTTATTTTGGTGCAAAAACATTTTGAAATCCATGCATAGTTTTATTCATACTATGCATTTTCCATAAACCATTTGAATATTCTTATATGTATGTGTTATTTATATTTATTTGTGACATAAGGTATTCTGAAATAGAAAATAATTCTCCTTATCAGCTTAAGTGCCATACATTAAATATAACTGAGAAATTTTCTTTGAGACACAGAAAACACATTATAGGAAATATATTACATTATCATATTTATGATTAAATTAATATTCTCAAATGCTATCAATATTATCAGTTACTTTAATATTGAATCCGCCTTCACATATATTACCTCAGTTAAGCATAGCGATAACTGTGAGAAGTATAGTGAACAATATTGTATTAGCCAGTTGACAGATGAGGCTACCTGTCATCAAGAAAATTAAGTTTACCATTGTTTAAATATATTCCTTCTCACTGCTGATCCAGAATTTCCAACATCTCCTGTGGTTGATTGTTACTATATAATCACTGAGTTTGAGTAACTAGATGAGATGATGGATATGTTAATTTGCTATATAACCTATTTACTACCTATATATATTTCACTGCATAATATTTTGTACCTTATATTCACACAATCAAATTTATTTTTTAAAAAGTAGTTTATTATGGGAAAGTTTAAGCATTTGTTTAACATTTTAACAAATCATTATGCACTGATAAAGTGAGAAAATACTCAACAAAAGAGTCATACAATTAAGTGAAGAAATACTACCACAAATGTCAGGTTCAGGGTGCCTGAGACTACACAATATATGTTTTGGTTGAAATGTATCATGCTCCACTATTTAGATTGAGTAGTACAGTGCTTACCAGAAATCTTCTTAGGGCTTGGGTGGATAGAAGATGCCTAGGCTTTTTATAGTACAATTTCAATTTTCCTCGTGCTCTGAAAACTAATTTTACCTCTCATAATACTTCTCAAACAGTAATCTTTTCCTTGGTTTCCAAATGTATAAAAAGGGTTATAAGCCACTGAGAATTTTTTCTCTCAAGTGAATGTAATGTATTTTGTATTTAAGTCATTAAGTTATACATTTATGATATTAAAATTGAGTAAAAAAAACCTCTCAACCACAGTATCACCATTCCTATTTCATTTATTCCACAAGCACATAGTGGGTAACTAAAACTTGGAAGATAAAATTCTGAATGTTGGTCATACAAAAAGGAGTAAGTTACAAACCCTCTTTCAATAAATTCATCATTTTATTTGTATTAGGGAACCCAAGAGGAAGAACATAGCACCATGTGTGATAAATGCTACAGTAAGACAAACACAGGCGAAGTGGAAGCTGTGGAAAGGGAATCTCAGTCAGGAATATATGTGTCTTCTGCTGATGGGAATGTACATTAGTACAGTCATTATGGAAATCAGTATGGAAGCTCCTTGAAAACTAAAAATAGCACTGCCATAAGATCCGGCAGTACCACTAGTCAGTATTTATCCAGAGGAAATGAAGTCAGTATGTGGACAAAAGATCTGCACTCCCATGTCTCTTGCAGTCCTATACACAATAGCCGAGATATAGAATCAACCTATATGTCCATCAATGACACCCACACACAATACCATTCAACCTTTAAAAAAAATGAAATTCTTTTCTGAGCAGCAACATGGGTGAACCTGGAGGACATTATGTTAAGTGAAATAAGTCAGACATGGAAAGAGAAATACCACATGATCTCATTCATGTATGAAATCTAAAAGTTGATCTCAGAGTACTAGAACGGAATAGTAGTTACTAGAGGCCATTGGGGCAGTGGGTAGGGTACCTAGGTGCCCTACTAGTGACAAGGAGGAGAGTATGATGAAAAGTTGCTAAACGGGTACAAAGTTCAGTTAGGAAGAATAAGTCATGATGTTCTATTATACAGTGAAATTACTACAGCTAAAAATAATGTATTGGGTGGTTGGAAAGTCATGAAGTATTTTTCTTTTTTTTTTTAATGCATATATGTCATGACTTTTCCAACAACCCAATATATTTCAAGATCACTAAAAGAGAATTTTAAAAGTTATCATCACAGAGAAATGATAAATGTTCAAGGTGACAGATACGCTAATTACTGTGATTTGATCTTTATACAATTCACACATGCATTGAAACATCACACTGAACTCTATAAACCTATGCAATTATGTGTCAATTATAGATAAAACAAAAAATATTTTAAACATTTATTTGTTTAACATGAAAAATATGTATGTGTCTAGAGTCAGGACAGTGAGAAAAAGACAAAACAAGAGATCCTTACTCAGAGGAGACACTCCTTAAGACACCTTTCCCTGGGAATTGCCTTCTGGTATTGTGACCCAATCTCTTTTTTCTTTATGGAGGTAGCACTTGGGGAGGGCATGTACTTGGAGAATTTCTAGACCCCTTTTGTTCCTCCTCAAACTCCTTATTCCCTTCCTTTGTCCTTGAGAAGGTAACTAGGATGAGCAAAGGATTTTAATAAATAAAACCAAGCCAATCAACTTGCATGTGAACAAACTTTGTGAGAACAGATACCTCTCCTACTTTTAAATTGCTTTGGGCTTTGATGATCCCTAAAGTAAACCAAGAAGTATGTCATGTCATGGAACTTGTCACAGCATTGACTAGCTGTGTTCTTTCAGACAAGGCATTCAATATCTATCCCTTAGTGTTCTTAACCAAAAACCTAACGAGCAAAAATCATTTTTCATGTTTCATTCCTAGATTTTAGTTGTCATAAAATTCAAATATGGTCATGTAAGAAGAGTTGTACAGTCACTGTGGAATATCTGAGTAAGTTCTGGATTAGGGATACAGAAAATAACCTCCTTATTGTAAGCCTATCCTGATTATATCTCTGAAAGTTGTCTATAACTCAGAGAAAATTATCAGCACCATGAAATTTGATGTTCTCTGAGGGCCCTTAATACCTTTGATGGTCAAAGTTTCAGTTGTGACTATTTTCAGGAAAGTAACTTAAAGTTCATATGCTCTTTGGCTGAATGGGAGAAATAGCAACTTTTGTCCAATTTTCCATCGAAAGTGTCCCCTTCAGTCATTAGGAAATTCAGGTGACTCTCTGTGGGTCCCAGGTATTGAGGAAGGTAAAAAAATAACACTGTAACATCATTCAGAAATCTATAAGACAAAGAATGAGGCAAGAGGGTATCAGAGTTGGGACTAGAAAAAGATCACAGTTCCCACAACTTGCGGAGAAGTTCACTGAACTGTCTGAATGTCATGCCTTTCCTCTTTAATATTTTTGTTTTGGTCTACTTTAAATAGAACCTAAACAACTGGCTTCTCAGTAGAAGTCGGAACAAACCTAGACTGGGAGTTTCCTCCTTCGAAGTTTACTCCATGAAGCATTTGGAAGACTCAGGAGACGTAAAGTCCTCCTGACTCTAATGACAATGCCCCAACATCTCTGTAATGTTGGGAGAGTCATCCCATAGAATTCGTATTTGTCTTTGTATTTGACAGGGGGCTGGCAGCGTCTATATTCTAAAGTTGTTGTAATAATTTATAATGTGAAAATACTTTATAAAGTATCAGGCACTATGTGGAAGATTTCTATTATAAACACTAGCAATGTAAATTGTATCACATTCTAGAATTTTTGGAGCCCATTATTGTTTACCCTGTATTAGTGACATCTATTTTATTGTTTTATGTTGTTTAGTGTTGAATTTAATAATATCCTCCCTTTATCTGCTTAACAATTCCAGCTTTGAGAGACATAGCTTAGGTACATGGTGCCAGTGTTCAGTATCAGTCTGACCCCTTCTGGTCCTTCAAAGAACTGCACCTTCTAAAACGAATTTAGTGACACTTTAGTTAGTACTCAGATTTGTCATCTCTGCTAATGACAAAAGCAACATCACTGAATTTGACTGGAAGACAGAGCTTATATGTTTGTTTAGACAATGAAAGACTCAAAATGCTTAACATTTTAGTCTGACATTTTATTATTATTATTTTTAATTTTGCCAGAGGGTGTATGACTCACGAGAGAGAGAGAGAGAGAGAGAGAGAGAGAGAGAGAGAGAGAGAGAGAAAGAGAAAAGCACCCTTAGTAACGCACGATCACACCACAATCTTTCTCCTCCATTTCTCCATCTGTCAGGATTTTGAACATGCACACACACAACTTTTGTCCAACAAAAGCTGGACAGGTGTTACTAAGAAAGACCATACTTTTGCCCTTGAGCTTTGATCAGTATCTCAAACTCTTTCTCAATTGTCAGAGGGTCACGAGACTCCTTTAGTCAATAACTTGATTCATACTTAAGAGTTATTGATGTTGAAAATAGAGTGTTTAATTTTTTTCCTCCAAAACTAGTTTTTCATTCTAAATTTTCCATTTTTTAATGACAGTATTATTCTTCAGATTCTCTACCTGCCCTCAAAGTAAATCATTGCTATCACTATTCTCTTGGGTCAACTTTAATGTTTCTTTGAGTCTTTTCAATTTAAAATTCGCTACCTGTACTAGCCCTCAGTATTTCTTTATTTCTTTTCTAAATCAGTTCAGTAGTGATGCTCATTCTGCCTCCTTTTCCTTGTAATTTCAAATCCTTCCTACATAAGATATAGGTTATCTTATTCTAAACTGTTTTCATCATAAGTTTTGTTTAAGAAATATAGTACATTATTAGTTCAGAAAATTGTACTGCTCAAACTGATTTCTCATGTATGACAAAATGGCTTTTTTTGTGGGGAGAGGTTTTTGCTATAGGGTGCATGCACTCGCCAGAAAGACAGAGGGAGAGAGACAGAAAGCGAGAAATCACCCACCACGGGCTATGGCCAAGCTGCAATCCCTTCTCCTCCATTCTCCTCTTGGGATCTTGGGCACGCACGCACATGCACCCTGCATGAATCTAAACCACCGGGTCCAGGACTCAAACCACAGTTGGCTACATGGGAGTCTAGCGACACAGCCATTAGGCTGACTGCTGGTACCACAACATAGCTTTTGAATGCTGATTAAGGATAATGTGGCACCATGGGATGCCTATTATTTACAATCGCTAGGACATGAAATCAACCCCAATGTCCAAATCAGATGAGAGGATTAAAAAAAATGTGGCATATGTACTCTATGGAATACTATTCAGCCATAAAAAAAAACAAGACCCTGACATTTGACACAAAGCGGATGAGTATGGAAGACTTAATGCTAAGTGAAGCAAGCCAGACTGTGAAAGACATACTTTGTATGTCCCCACTCACTGTATACCAAATGTCTGTACTGTATAGCAGAAACTGAAACTGAAAGTTTCTGCTATACAGTGCAGTTTCTGCAGGGAGGGCAATTGTAGATACCAGAGATAGTAAAGATACAGGTAATAAATACATGGGTGGGTAATAGGGGAAGGGAAGGTGGAAACAGAGGAAATAAATAATTTATTTAATTGACACAAAAATGAAAAGTCATTTGCTGATGATAATGTATATGGTAATGTCTTTGCCTGATATGCATTGTATTTGTGTTGAGAAAAGCCATGTTGTAATATGTAAAGATGTATCGTGATTAAATGTAAATATTAATACTACTAATAAAAAGGTTATATTGATAGATAATGTACACCAAACACTGCCTTTGAGAGGCTTGTTCTGTTTGTTCCAATACAGACTATTAATAAAAATGACTCTGAGGTTATGGTGCCTAAGCAGATTGATAAGAAAAAATTAAAAACACTAAGAGTTACCAATGGTAAATAGTAACTTTATTTTACTATTATGTTACTTAACTCATTTTCTTGGACAATTAAAGAGTCAGCAGCACATTACTAATTTATGTTCACATGGAAAATTTCACTGCCACGTGAGTTCTAAAAAGTCTGGGAACAGGCTTTTGTTTAGCTTGAATAATCATTTTTTGAAAGAAGGTGAAAATTTTAAAAGCATGTAATTTGTACTGCTAACCATAATCTCTCATCAGATTTCATCATGGTGAGAATTCTTGGCATGAGAAGAATGAACTAGTGTTGGAGGAAATTTTACTTCCTTTTGTCTTTGTTGAACGAGACTTGAGCGGGCATGTTCCTTATGTTCGTTTCAACTTCTGAAACTTCTCCAATCATGCAGAAGAGAAATGGAAGCCTTGAAAGGTGGCACCTTCCCAGACCTTTATATTTGTGTAGAGAAGAAATAGCAGCCTTGGCAGGACAGCTTGATTCATAATGTTATATAGTTGTGGAAACTGTTGCTCAGACATTTAGGACAGGAAGGGGATTTAGAGATCATTGAATCTAAATCTTCATCATAGGAATGGAAAAGCAAAGGTAATGAGAAGAGAGGAGACAAATAACACAGTGAATAAGCATTTCTCTTACCTAGAGAAAATGCTCAGCTTTTATGGTGTATATGTGTCATCCAAATAATTGTTTTGTATACTGATTCAAAACTTCCTTTCTCTATAATTATTACTCAATGTTTCTGCATGGTTCCTGGAGACCTGTATATTTATAAAGCATCCCAGATGATCTTAAGCCAGCAGACCATATGACTTTGGCCTATCTAAAAATGGTAGAATCAATACATAAGTTTTAAATAAACTCTAGAAAACACTAGTAAAACTTGAGAAATCAAGATCCATATTTGAGGGACCAGCAGTTAGTGTAAGGGCTATGTCGTTGGACTCCCACGTAGTCGACCGTGATTCGTGTCCCCGACCCGGTGGCTTAAACTCACGCCGGGCGAGTGTGCGTGTGTGCCCAAGATCCTGAAGGAGAATGGAGGAGAAGGGATTCCGTCGTGGCCATCCCCCCTGGGGTGATTTCTCGCTTTCTATCTCTCTGTATCTCTCTGTCTGTCTGGCAAGCGCACACGCCCTATAGCAAAAACCTCTCCAAAAAAAAAAAAGATCCATATTTGAGAGATGACTTGTATGTTAATAATGAAGCTAAGATTAAATTCTGTATCTCTTAAATCCCCGTGTAATGGCTTTATTACCAGAGTTTACTATCAAATAGGATACAGAATATGTTGGCTGGATCTGATGTCCTTTCCTTGTGTATTTCCTTTTATGGTTAGTATAAACCATCTTACCATACTTATTTAAGCATAGTATGTCAACTTTGAGATGTACGATTTTTTTTTTTTTTGAGTGCTTTCTGCTATAGGGCATGTGTGCTCTCCAGAAAGACAGAGACAGACAGAGAGACAGAAAGTGAGAAATCATCTCCCGGGGGGATGGCCATGCCACAATCCCTTCTCCTCTATTCTCCTCTCAGGATCTTGGGCATGTACGCACACGTGCCCTGTGTGAGTTTAAGCCACCGGGTCTGGGACTTGAACCACGGTCGACTACATGGGAGTTCAGCGACATAGCCATTACGCTAACTGCTGGTCCCGAGATGTACAATTTTATATGCAAATTCCAACACACATGTGTTCATGAGTTAGGCACATACACAAGGGTGCACACATACACACTGGCAGGTAATTGTAAGGTATCATCTAGTATAAAATTTATCCTAATTCTGAATGTTAAAATTAGGAGGGAAAGTCTTTTGCAGTATAGTGGGGATAATCAAGGTTGAAAAATATTGTTCAACTTAATTGCCAACTCCAATTAGTTTGGCAGTAGTATCTAGAAAGTCTGATGCCAAGTGTTCTTGGGCATGCTTGGGCTAAGCAAAGACTAGTGTTGAAATCAAGCAGAGATTCACAGTAAGGATAGAACTAGAAGTAACAGAGCAAATAACCCTTGTGGTATCTTCTGCTTGTTAGAGAAGAAAGGTAAGAGTTGGGGAATTCATTTTGGGAAATCTTAACAATAAAGATAATTGATTCCAATTCTAAGTTTTAACCCTGAACTATTTTTAAATTCAAGTGAAATAGTCTATGTTCAATTCAGAACATTAATCATGGTTTTTGTCTACCTTCAGTTATTTCTATAATAATTCTGTTACAATAGGTTATTTGTGTTCTAATGCCCTCAGTGTTTATTAATGACTAGTTAATAACTAATTTGCTATAAATTTTTACAGTTTGCCAAACATGCCCATGTGGTTTCTGTAAATGAAATATATTTGAAATTCTATGAAGTGAACAGTATCCCTTTTCTATAGTTGTGGAAATTATATCTCAGAGCTGAGTAGCTTGCAGTTAGTAACTCAAATTTCACTGATCATACAGTGAAATAAGAAAGAGAGCATGAATTTTCTGTTTTTATTTATGTCTACTCAAAATATGAAAATGTGTGTGCACTTAGGCTATTTTAAACTGAACATGGTATATTCACAGAGAAATTGTAAGTAAAAATAACAATTATTTCACCTGACTTCTGAATTGCACTGACCTGCTTATTGCTTTTTTGTTTTGTTTTTATCCAAATCAAGCAAGAAAGCTAAATTTACTCAATAAAGAGTCTAGAGATATCCATTTGGAAAAGAAAAACTGAAAACAACTTACATCAATAGAAATCTCATATGCATTACAAATCTAATGTAAAAATACTAATAAAAGATATATAATGATGTATAGTTAATGGAAATTGCCTTTCTAAGAACAGGACCAAAAACAAATTTTATAACATTAACATTTTTTTGAAATGCAAATTTGTTTTTCTATTTTATTCTTATATTTATATTGTATTTTGTTGTCCCCCCCCCGCCCCCCACACACACACACTCGCCTTGTCATTGGCCAGGGAATACTAGTCAGGCACCACCCAGTCAAAGAGTAGATAAAAATAGGTACCAACCTGTTCTCCTTGACTGAAGATACCTGGGGAGGAAAAACAAATTCAATGAATGAGTGAAAGGTAGGAGTTGCAAAATTGGGTAACCCCCAATACCCATTCCCAATACTCAGTCATCTCAAGAAGTCACGACCTTTTGCTTCCCTTTTTATACCTGTCTCTTTTTAGTGAGCAGGAGGCACTTGGAATGTAAGGATATGAAACATGAAGGGAAAACGTTGGAGGTTAAGAGAAGGTGGAAGAGAAAGGTTTAAGGATCTGGAGATATGTCACAGGCCTGGCCTAGTCACCGATGAACCATGGGAATGACCTCATGTTCTCTAGTCTCACTCTGGAGCCCTCTCCTCCAACATTGACATTCTCAGGTTTAGTCCACGAAGTTTTTCCCCAAAATCCTTTGATACAGGCAGTTAGGAAAGGGATTAACTTTTTATTTGTTCTTTGAGTTTGAAATTACTCTTCTGTCCTCAACACTCAACCTTAAAGATTAGCCTCAAACATAGACTGGTAAGGATCAACTCAGTCTTTTTTCTGTGATTCATTTCTTGTTTCACATCTCTCTGGATTTCTAAAAGAGGAGAAGACCACATATATTGCCTTGTTTCTCTCTCTCCTATTCTCTCTTTATGTTTGTTTAAATGGTTTTAGATTGTAACTAAGTAGTTCAGTGGTTTAAAGCACTGAAATAAGGGGATCAGTGGGTGGTGTAGTGGTTGGGGTGGCTGGATACCAGCTGACTGAGTAGTTTGAATTCTAGTCCCTGTGGTTTGAAAAACCTAACGGGGGTGTGTGCATGCATGCCCAAAATCCAAAGAAGAGAATAGAGGAGAGGGGAGCACCAAGTGGCCATGCCCTCAGGGTTGCTTTCTCACCCCTCTTTTCTGTCTCTCTCTGGTAAGCACATGTGCCCCATAACAAAAATACATAAACAAAGAAGAAATACTGAAATAATAAAAATCCCTAGGTCCAATCCTGTATGGACAGTTGAGTTTTGGTCTGTGACTATTCCTGTGGAACTCCTAGCACAGCAAACTCTTCCAGAGGTCAGCCCAAGGCCACCTCTATGAGAGCGAGTATAGATGATTGGAATCCATGTCCAGTACTGGTCAGTACTTGTAGGACAGCTGGAAATACCTCAAAGTGTGATCTCTAGTAATAAGGATAAGGAAAGAACAAGGCTCTTAAGTTTTAAAGGAGATTATTGAACATTTCCAACAGGGATTACCAACCTCATTGATTTATAACTAGTAATGACATGGTTATTAAAAGTATAGACTTAGAGAAATTACTTACAATTTCCATTATTTAAGACCAGATAGGACCTGGGAGTCTATGACTTTATGGTCTAGAAAAATTCATTATTATAATTTTCAGTCAGCTCTTTATCGTATAAATCTGTGATCAGAAAAGAAGGGATTTGCCCAGTGTCCCATATATGGAACATGTCAAGGCAGAATTAGGTTTAATGCCCACAATGTCTAAGTCCAAACTAACACACTTTTACTAAATTTTAATAACGGCAGTAGGTATTTTGAATACCTACTGTAGCCTATCCACTATTTTAAGCACTTTTCATGCATTTTTTTCTCATTTAATCCCCATTATAGCAGTACTTTTATATTCTCAGTTTACATATGAGACAAATGAGGCTCAGAAAAGTTACACAGCTATAAAATGGAAATGCCAGAACTGAAAATAATCTCTCCTTGTTTTAACACTAAGCCTTTTGGGCACTCTGTCTTTCTAAATACTGTCTGGGATATCTGTGAAGCATGTATACTTTGGTAAGTTAGTGAATTAATCAGCCAGATCCTGTTAAAGATCAGTCCACCTTGTAAAAAAGAAGCAATAAGAGGATACCAATTGATCTCTGAGACTATTTTTATAGCTATACTTTAACATAGTCGTATCTATTTAAGACAGTCATATCTGTTTTTTTCTGCCATTTCATCAATTCATTGAACTACCATCTGAAATTACTTGTCAAGCTTACTCCATAATCACAGAAAGCCTTTATACATGGTTTCATATTTTTAAATGCATTTGTTTACTTAAATGATCAGCTACAGTGGGAAATGGGTTCTGTCTCTGAAACTTCACCAAATTATTGTAACATATTTAGCCATTTAAAATCTTAGATAATAGTAAAATTCATCCACTAGTGTCACAGAAAATGATACATTAAAAAGGATAGATCTCAAGGCTTAATCTCATTTCTAGCATTTCACAAACAAGAAAAATGAGATAGTTCTCCAGTTGACACAGGCCATTAGTAGAAAATACGGAAGTAGGTCTTGGGTCTAGAGACTCTAGCATGTGCTTTGTCTTCTGCAATACAATAAGAAAGAATATTGAGGAAGGAGGGACATAAATAAATACAATGGCCATGTTCATTCAGAGGGTCCTGTGAAAACATCGGCTTGGGATATGACTGTTTCTTGAACCACCTTATTGATAGTATATATGACTGGTGCTCATTGAAGATAGCCTCCTGACTGAAGCATTTTTTAGTTTGCCGACAACATACAAAGCATTCTAAGTTTCAATAATTTATTTTCAAGGATTTCTTTATTGAGTTTCCATTTTCCCCTTGTTTCAATTTCAGTTATTTTAGTCCTTTTGTAATAATAACTAAGCAAAAGAAAGCTTTCCTTTTTCTTGGAAAGCCAAGTTAATATTTCATGAAATTATTCAACCTCCTGACCAATGTTATGGAACAAATATCACCTGTGATGTCTGGATTCAAATTCCAACTCCTACTTACTATTTTTACGTTCTTTTATATATGTAGCATAGGGATATGAATACCTTGATATAAGTATTAGAGATGCTACATAAAAACTTTTAGCACATTTCTAGAATATAGGTTATGCTCAACAAATGACAGTAATTTGTGTCCTTATTACCAGCACCATTTTACCATCACAATCATTATCATCACCACTGTGATGATCTCCTAGAATTGGTCTTCTAGATCAAAATTGTTAGAATTTTAAAATATGATGACTACTCTTGTCATTTTAAGTTCAGTATAAACATGGCATCTTAACTTTAAGAAGAAACTCACCTGAGAAAAAGCAGAAAAGAGCCAGAGAGAGGAGCAGAAAGACACCTGATATTTTCATGGTGCCAAGTAGCTCACTCACACCAAGGCTGCTTTGTCCAGCTCAGATTCTCTGTCAAGACACTTCCCAGAAAGCACTAGAAACATACCCTCAGACATATATATATATAGACATGATCGAGGGAGTTGGGATCTCCACCTTCTTTATAAAATCACATTCTGAAACCATATACAGTCCTGTACACTTTTAGGCATTTATTGGGACCTGTCACCAGCTTAACGAAAGGCTTCATGCTCCCCATCAATCTTAAAAATTAGGACAATTATGTGAGTCGCACCTTAGATCTTATTAATAGAGGATGTCATTTTCTACCAGTAGCCTGCATTTTTCTAACAACCAATACATCCTCCCAGTTCTTCCCTCCAAGGTTTCACTACATTAAAGGGATGACTCACTGGTGGAGTTCCACTTTATCCCTATGTCTCTTTCAGACAGGTCCTACATGTCTGTGGTCCAGGTGAGTAACCACAAGAGAATGAAATCTTGGGTGTAACTTGGATTTTCAGAGTCCTAATCACCCAAGGTGTACCTAAAGGAGACAAGTATTACACATTGTAACCGTCACAGCATCAGAACAAGCATTTTCTGTGCAGGAAACAGCTTAATTTTTAAATTGCTATTGCAGTCAAATGCCAATAATTTTCCATTTTTGAGTTAAGAACAGAAAAGTCAATGTATTGTTTTTAATTTGTAAAAGAATATTTGTTTTTAAAATTTGCCAAATTGATAATTTGAAATGAGAAATATTTGATCTTCTTCCTTTTTTCTGTAAAATAAAAAAGTAGTTATGAGGCTAGTATGTGGTACGGTGGCTAAGGTGCTGGACTCCCTGTGGTTGACTGTGGTTCGAGTCCCACACCTGGCAGCTTGCTTCCCCACTTCTTTTCTCTCTCTTGCTCTCACTCTCTGGTGAGTGCATATGCCTTACATCAAATTAAAAAAATAATACTAACAATAAATAAGTCTTTTTAAAAAGTAGTCATAATAGGGACCAGCAGTTAGCATAATGGCTATGTCACTGAACTCCTATGTAGTCGACCACGGTTTGAGCCCTGGACCCAGTGGCTTAAACTCACTCCAGGCACGTGTGCATGTGTGCCCAAGATCTCCAGAGGAAAATGGAGGAGAAGGGATTGCAGCGTGGCCATCCCCTCTGGGGGGGTGTGTGTGTGTGATTTCTCCCTTTCTATCTCTCTGTCTCTCTCTGTCTTTCTGGTGAGCGCACGTGACCTATAGCAAAAACCTTTCAAGAAAAAAAAAGTGTATAAATTAAAAATAAAAGTAGTCATAATGAATATATTTAAGTTTTTACTCCTTGGAAATACACTTTTTATTTAAGCAAGATGAATCCTATTAATTATCAAGGCAAATTTAATTGCAAGGTAGATATTGGGATGCCATAACTTCCTCTAGAAGAACAAAAACTATAGCAGTTATAGAGGTCATGAAAAATTTTGCCTCAAATCATAAACTGCTATTTAAAATATCATGAAGAAAAATGTAACAAGTTAAAATGTGAGATCATGCTAAATGTTCCCAAATAAAACACAAGTCACTAATGCAATTTATGTACAAATAGCCATAAATTATATTTGTAAATAATTGGTTTCCTTTTAAAGTAGTCACCTTGACCAAATATATACACAGAGTAGCTATAATTCTCTGTTTTTTTTTTTTATTTTAATGGCCAGAGGGCATAGGTACTCACAGAGAGACACAGAGAGACAAAGAGAGAGAAAGAAGGAAAAAGTACCATCCAATGGAGCATGGTCACATCACAATCTCTTCTCCTACATTTCTTAATTCTGTCACAATATGGAGCATGCACAAATGCCTTGCATGTTTATCAAGCCACTGGGGTGGGATTCAAGACATGAGGGATCCAATTCCCTTAACCACTAGGCTATGGGCCAG